GGGGGCGAAACTGAAAGAAGAAGGCACGATCGTTGTGGGCGGCTGAGTGGATATTGGGCTGGCTTTGGGCTGCACCGGCCTGCTGCTGCCTTTTGGTGCCACGACTGTGCCGATTCTTTTTTGTTTTCATGCTTGCTGATTAAAGCGAGCACGGCCAATCGCCTGTCGCTCCCTTGCTTCTGTTACTACGCACGAGGATGTCCTCAAAATTGCCATCGACTGCGGTTTGTTTGTTTGCTCGAAGCGCACGCGTTTAGCCGAGCCGGGGCCCCTTCTTACTAAGACTGTCGTGAAGAAACCGGCCTGGTCCCTCAGTATCTACGAATCATCATCCGTCACTTGAACAACGCAACGGGATGGCTTGCTGGTATTAAGGTGTTCTAGTGGCCAGTGAGGCCGCGGTGTTATCTGCATGTCACTGCAAAAAGTCTGGATCTCCCTGTTCTAAAAGTTAAAAGCGTCTAATTATCTGGGAGTCAAAGGTCGCCGAGAGGCAAACAAGAACCGCGATATCCACATTAAATCATTAATATGCTTCGCGACTGCCCTGATTTCAGCGACGCCATTAGTGGATGTTACTTAATGGAGTGTGCTGACGCCTCGAAACATGTGCATTTGCCATTTGAGATGCTACACTCAGCCAGCCCCAGAAAGCGTGAGGTCGGACAGGCTGATGAGGTCAGACAGACACTAGCAAAAAGATCCGAAGCGAAAAGGACAGCATGGCAACATAAAATGGGAAAAAAAAAAAAAAACGGTGAACATTCTACATCATGATAGTTGTATCATATGGCTGTTGGGCCGTAATGCGCACGCAGCTTTGGGCATCGACTGGCCCGCCTGCCAACTCGCACCGAGGCTAGCACCAAAGGAGCATGGTCGGGCTACCGGCAGGCGTCCCTAAGATTCTCCCATCTCCATGCTGCCAATCCTTGATGATGGATACATACATTTTCTATAGTACTATTATGTGCTCTCCAGAGTACGGACTACGGAGTACAGATGGATCTGCGATGTGGCCTGACACAAACAAAGCAAACTGTCACGGGACTGTGGTCGGTCCGGCCCGCAGGAAAAACCAGGGTTGAGTCGACATTGGACAACGCTGTTTGATTGGCCAGATATCGTACTCTGTGTTTGTGTGTGTGTATGTGTGTGTGTGTGTACTCTGCAAAACGAATGTGGATTTTGATATTTGTTCATTCATTTATACTATTTCGTTGCCTGGGCTGAGTGCCGACGGATACACGAGACTTACGCTTTCGCCGCCTTGAATGCCGGGTCCGTCTTTCATCTTCATCCATACGAGCCATCAGCCCCTGCACATTCCAATTCGCGCACACAAAGTACCATTGGGGATCCTTGCTTCTGGTCCGACGATCCGAACTACAAAATGACTCGAGAGATCCAGAGGTCTACCTCCCTCCTCTGTCATTTGTGAGCACATATGCCAAAGCGCTTGGACGAGGCTACTATCCTCTTGGTCATAGAAATACGCATTGCCAGGTATATAGCGAGAGCCTGGATCGAGACAAGGATGTCCTCGATCCCCAATTCGCCAGCACGAGATTGTTCAAGTATTCGTCTCTTTTCTTGGTGAATGCTATCGACAATGTCCGAGGAACATTTTATGAAAGGTTCCGAAATAGACATTATATCTTGTAAAGCAAGCAACAGAGTCTGACCGCTTTTGTTTGCTCTAAAGTAATGTTGTATGAATGGAGGAAAGTTCTCTCCTCTCGCTGCCAGCCTGGATATGACCGTAAAATGCCTGTTTCCCTCCCTTCTCCATTGTCGAAGCTATCATCGTATTGATGGTATGAGATACTTTGGGTCCAGATACTTTTGAGGGCAGCTCGCTTTCCGAAGTAGGAACACTGACGCCATTGGTTAATGATCTGCTAAGGCTTGCGGGATGGCTAATCGCTACATCTTCTTGGGCGACTGGATCCGATGCAAAGAAGGGAAAAGGGTAAGACCAATTGAAAGGATCCTCTTCGACCAAAATCTGATTCCTGCCTTCTAAGGTTGGGTGCGTTCGTGTAAGATCTTGATTCCATCCAAGGATGATAGAATGTTTGATAAGAGCAAGAGATGTTTCTTTTGAGACAACGATGACATCCCATTACCCTTGAGTCACATCGCGTTTTGGCCTGACTACAAGGGAAAAGGCGCTTCTGCTGCGACAGTATCGCAGATGGCGGCTAAGAGCGGAATCTACATGTATAGATTAAGGAGTTTTCTCCGTTGTGGTATGGCTGAAACCAGGATTACCTGGTGCGCTTTCCTTCCAGGATACCTTGCAGACGAAAGTTGTTTATATTGGCCATTTCGGTGGTGTTCTCTGTGGCTCATACCTTCATGTCGCTGTTGAAGTAGAAGATGCTGCAATTTGATTGGGTTTATGCCGGAAAAGCGGATCCTATTCTGCCTCAGGCTCCCACCAACCGCAGATGTGCTTTCCAACCCTCCACCAGCTCATTTATCGAGTGCCATCTGTCGAATGGGACCACAGCAACGTGATGTTCCGATTTCCAGCCAGCTGAGATATTCACCATGCCAATCGGATACGAAGCATGCCGCGTTCTTCCTCCCCATCGGCGTTTGTCCAGTCCTCGCCAGACACCACGTTGAAACAGTCTCGCTACACCTTTCGTCACCTTCACCAGCTCCGCCAGAATTCGCCATCAAGCCCTCTGAGGGTCATTGCGCACATTGATCTCGATGCCTTCTATGCACAATGTGAGATGGTTCGCCTTGGTACTCCGCGGGATACACCTTTGGCCGTTCAACAATGGGAGTCACTCATCGCCATCAACTACGCCGCGCGTCCCTTTGGAATTACTCGGATGTTATCGGCCACTGAGGCGAAGAAGAAATGTCCAGAATTAGTGCTCCAGCATGTTGCGACGTTTCGAGAAGGTGAAGGGGGAACATGGGCTTATCGTGATGATGCTTCCACCAACATCAAAACTGACAAGGTTTCTCTGGATCCCTACCGAACACAATCGCGCAAGATCTTGAGCACGATCAAAGAGGAAGTCGCAAAACAGAGAGATCAAATTCTGTCTTCCGGAGAGCTTGCTCCTTTGGTGGAATTCCAGGCCGCAAAGATCGAGAAGGCTTCTATCGATGAGGTCTTTATTGATTTGTCATCGCTAGTCTACGCTACTTTCTATCAACGCTATCCTGAGCTCAGAAGAGAACCTACGGCATCTGACAGAAACACTCAACTGCCTTCACCTCCTACAACAGCACTAGAGTGGTCCCCGGATGACGGTCTACTTGACCTAGACGACCAGGAAGCCGAAGAGGATGACCCTGATTGGGATGATATCGCGATGTTCATTGGCGCCGAGATTATACGATCCATCCGCAATGCAATTTGGAATAAATGGAATTATACATGTTCCGCCGGCATCGCTCGGAACAAAATGATGTCCAAACTAGGAAGCGCACGTAACAAACCCAACAAGCAAACGATCATTCGCAATCGCGCAATCCAGAAATTCTTGGGGGGCTTCCAGTTTACCAAGATCCGAATGCTGGGAGGAAAATTAGGGGAGCAAATAAGTAATGAGTTCGGAACCGAAGAGGTCAAGCAGTTGTTGAATGTATCAATTGAGCAATTCAAAGCCAGATTAGATGATGACACTGCAGTCTGGCTGTACAATATCATTCGAGGTATCGATGATAGCGAGGTCAACCCTAGAATACAGATCAAGTCCATGTTATCAGCCAAATCCTTCCGCCCTAGCATCAACTCGGCGGAACAGGCACAAAAATGGCTGCGAATATTCGCTGCTGATCTCTACAACAGATTGGTCGAGGATGGTCTCTTAGAACATAGACGCCGACCAAAGTCGGTCACTCTGCATCATCGCCAGGGTCCACAAGTACAATCAAAGCAGTCGCCGATTCCTGGCGGGAGAATGATTACAGAGGATATTCTGTTTGATTTGGCAAGCGGCCTGTTGAATCAGGTCATCGCCGAAGCACGAGCATGGCCATGTGCGAATTTGTCACTTAGCGTGGGTGGATTCGAGGACGGGCCAGTTAACAATAGAGCCATAGATAGCTTTTTCACTGCAGGGCCGGCCATTTCCCACGCGGACTCATCGCTTCCGAAGGACATGATAGCCGAATCATTGGAAGACACAAGCAGACCGACCAAAATGAGGAAGACTACTACTACTACTACTACTACTGCCAAGGGTATTGGAGAATTCTTCAAGCGAAGCTCTCCATCGTTGATTGACTCTGTTGCAGACAAGGACTTGGAGAATCAGCTGCAGTCAGAGTTTTCAGCCCACGAAATGCCAAGCTTGGATGCTGCTGGCGCAAGCAATACGCCCACTGCTCCCAGAATGCATGTTGAGGATTTTAGCCAGATCTATGGCTCATATACGTGTCCACGATGTAATGAAGAGGTTACCGAGGATCAACGTGATGAACACGACGACTGGCATTTCGCCAAAGACCTCGAAGCTCAAGAGGTACGAGCAGATCAGACTTCACGAAAAATTGCTCAACAATCATCCAGACGGTTAATTCCAGATCGCAAAAGGACGGGATCAGGCCGGTCCCGAGGATCAGCTTCCAAGCCAGAGAAGGGTCAGAAGCAGTTGTTTTTTGGGTAAAAATGTATATAGTTGGTTTCTAGGGCCCATACTAACGAGGAATATTTTTGCATGCAACGCCGTACTCATCATGTATTGAGGGATGAGGATCTCAAGGTTTCGAACGATGACCAAATTTTTGAGAAGTCAAGGCCAATATCATGAACTCATTCGGTGCATCTTAACCCCGGTGGATCGCTAGCTAACCGAATAAAGACGAGTGGCAACAAAACGCGAGCTGCAGAAGAGACCATATGGAGAGAAATATGTTTCAGTGATGGAGCTGCTAACTCAAGGTAGCTATGCTCCATAGAGAAGCAAGGCAAGAAGCTGCGAGCATTAGCTTTGATTGATAAGCTGGTGCTCTCCTTATAAATATGTCGACCCGAGATCCAAACATCGATGCAGAATACATTTCCTACTTTCCTACTTCTCTTCTCTTCTTCACTACGAACTTCGGTGCAAGATCCAACTGGAACCATGCCTCTCAAACTTTACGGAATGTCCCAATCATCCTGCACCAGGCGCGTCCTCGTCACGCTCGCCGAAAAGAATGTGACAGACTACGAGCTTATCATCATAAATCTCCCCACTCGGCGAGCAACGCAGGCCTTCCTATCTTGTGAAGGCGCTATTCGGGAAGGTCCCCCTGCTCGACGATAACGGATTTCTCATTTATGAGAGCAGGGCCATCTGCCAGTATATCGCACGGAAATTCAGAGACCAGGGCACAAAGCTAATGCCTGACGAGAGAGCCTTGACTGAATATGGATTGTTTTAGCAGGCTTGCTCTATTGAGGTGAACTTCTTTGACGTTCCGGTATACGGGTTGGTCTGGGAGAAACTGATTAAGAAGTGAGGGTTATCCTGTCCCGATCGTATTTGAAGAAAATTCATTACTGACTGACTAGAGCAGGAGGGCACAGCTTGGTGAATCAGACGAAGCCTTAGCGATGAAGAATATTAGCCTGCTTGACGCCAATTTTGCGGTATATGAGAATATCCTTGCAAGGCACAAATACCTTGCTGGGGATGAGATCACCTTGGCTGATTTGTATCATCTGTCATACGGTGTCGAGGCTTTGGACATCGGTCTCAGGGATGTGATTGATAAGTATCCAAATGTGGCGAGATGGTTTCAAAGCTTGCAGTTGATAGACAGCTGGAAGAAAGTCTTGCTCCAATCAACTGCACTATAACAGTAAACTTAGCCCTCTAGAATAAGCAGATTTAGTATTCCGCTCAATTCAGTATCGATTCTTTCAAATACATTAGTCACGTTGGCTGTAGATTCGCTCTTTCTTGCCTCGTTTCCGAATCAAGCATAGCCTGCTTTGTAATCGCAACGACTCGCGATTAAGTTGCAATAGGACCAGCTTGGGATTTGCAATTCCCGCAAAGTCTTGTCATATCTTTACATGTTGATTGTCATACCAGCTGTGACTTGCGGGTGTGTCATCTCCAAATGCCTAGTCATTCTGACCTCGTCCATGCTGCGTCTGACACGGCCTGCTCAACATGTAAAGGTAAGCCACCGACCTAGATACCGGGAATAGTGTGAAAAAAAAAAAAAAAAAAAAAAAAAAAAAAAAAAAGGGACTAAGGCTTTTGCCGACATGCAGAGCGCAAGATTGCCTGTGACAGGGCTAGTCCGGTTTGCCATAACTGTCGACGATCGAAACGATCATGCCAACGACATCGTATACGCCTATCCTGGCCAAGAGCCAACGATAGGAGAAGAGCCGCCGTGGGCCAGCCCCAGCGGTATTCTCTGCCAAAAGGAACTGGAAGCAACCAGTTCGAATTTATCAATACGTATTTGGAGGACGTTGAGATGCATAGACACTAACTTGATACAGGTGGATATGATGGACCCAAAGATGCTCACGTCCATCTCGCCAAATCCGTCGGGGCCTATGTATTAGCTCCGAGTCTATCACTATCAAATCATGCTGGTTTAGAAGGTCGTGAGCTGGAACTGGTGCCATATTGTAAGTTTGCGAAAACGCCACTTCGATACGTACATACTGACTAATAACTCTTCTCCATTGTATTACCATGTCTTCCGGCGTTTGGCATAGACCTGCAAAATCTTCGCAGTATCATTGCTCGATTAGCCCTTTTAGACGACAGTCCGTCCTCCCAGGCAGTACTCAATAGCCTCATAGCTTGGGCTGATATATTTAAAAATGGAAACCAAAGGCAGGCTACCAAGTTTGTCGGTAAAGCTTCGAGTTCACTTAGGGTTTCTGCACAAATCGAAATGGGACTTCAACAAGGCTTCCAACATATCGTTGCAGGCATACTTTAGCAGGAGACTCCTAGTTCTCGATGTTGTGAATCGTACCATAGGCAATGTCAACGCTAGTAGCTTGGTATCACTGAGGAAACTGCTTCTGAAAGCATGGGTACAGCACGACTTGAATGCTGAACAAGACATGCCTCACAAGAGGGAGTCTTGCGTCTTCTTGAGGATTGGCAATTTTGTTCCCTGTCTGCTCTGACTGGTTGTTAGGGCTAGGGCTAGAGGGAGCCTTGGGTGCTAAATCGCGGGGCCGGGAAGCTAAAGAAATGACATCAGCCACCACGGCCTTATTTACTCTCCAACATCTGCGCTTGCATCAACTTGCTCTGTCGTTTTTCTTTCTATTCGATGTTTCCTTTTCATGTTATAGCATATGTTTTGCATCGTTTCTTTTCCGAGCGTTACTACTGTTTAGCATCCGCTCACAACAAATCATTTACTTCCAAATGCAAAGGTCGTTTTGAGATTGCTCCTTGCTATCCTTAAAACAGTCGAAAAAAGATCGCAATGCCCCGGCAAGATCATCCTGATGAGGTCTATGAGGACGATAGCTTTTATGAAGAAGTCGATCGAAGAAGACGAAGCAGAGATGACCGCTACTTTGACCCAGAATTTGGTCCTCGGCGCCATTTCGTGGCACGATCTCCACCCCCAGTCCGCGAAATTGATGAACGGGTGGTACGGCGACATCAGCGCGATCGCTCTGCTCCTGGCTTTATCCGTGAGGATGTCCTACCCACTCGATACCGTGATAGAGACCGCCAAGATGACTTGAGTTTGGAAAGAGAGACAGAGGAGGTTTACGGCCGTCGCAGGACTTCGCCACCTCGATTCCGTCCTAGAAGAGTGTCTAGGGGTGAAGAAGATGTTGTGTCTGCCGAGGTGGACGACCGCAGGAGGAGACCACGCGAAAAAGAAAAGGTCGTTTTCGAGGAACGGAGGGTTTCTTCACCGCCGCCTCGAGAGGAAATTGAGCGCGACGAAGTTGTCTTTCGCAAGCGTGATCGATCACTACCTCCTCGCCGAGCAAAAAAAGATGAAGATATTTTTATTGAACGTGATAGGAAGCGCTACGAGACTTCCGACAGCGAGATAGAGGAAGACGAAGAGGCCATTGTTCGCCGTCACCATCGCCCCTCACGACGAGAGGATCGAGAAAATGTCGTCGAGCGCCAAAGGTTGAGAGTTCGTAGACATTCCCTTCCACCGCTTGATGACCCTCGGGGAAATATGGAAGACGAGGAAGATGAAGTGATCATTCGTCACCGAGATCGCTCTTCCAATCGTCGACGACGTGAGAGATTGTTACCTCGGGAAGAACAACGAGAGGAAGAAATCATATTTGAAGAGCGAGAGCGGTCGCCGCATCGACGGAGCAGGCGAGAGGAATTCGTTGTACGCCATGAGGATGAATCCCCTCCCCGTCGACGACGGGACGATGAGGTTGACGATGTTGTCATACGTCGCCGAAGTCGCTCCATACCGAGCAGAAAAGAAGAGCAAGATGAAATAATTTCTAGAGATCAACGCCGTCCATCGCCTCGAAAAGAAGATGACCGTGAGGAGATTGTCATACGTCACCACGACCGCTCTGCTCCTGTGCGGGAAGACGATCGGGAAGAAGTCCGAATTCGCGCGCGACATCGTTCTTCACGTGCTAGGGATGAAGACCAAGATGATACAGTGCTGCGACGACGATCAGCTGCTTGGATTGACGTTGACGGTGAAGAGTTCCTCGTTCGCAGAGACAAGCATGGTCGAAGACTCTCACTAGGTACTAAAATTGAAGAAGACGAAATAATTCTACGTGATGGAGGTGGACCTAGGGAGGACGAAATTGAATCCCGTCATGTTCCAAGTCCACGCCATAGCCCGGTCCGTTCTCATTCCCGACATGCAGAAGAGAAGGAGGAGATCATCATTCGACAGGAAGATCGAGGAGGAAGAGACGACGTCAATAGGGAAATCGTCATTCGCAGAGACGAAGAAAGATCGCCTTCACCGGAGTCCTCCGAGCCTTCTGTTATACGCAAACCGCCTATTGTTCAAGAGCTTATTACTCATCATCGCCACATAGATAGTAAGATAGCGCATATCAATTCATTCGTTCGTTAGCATGACTTTACGAAGCAATTTACTAACAGCCAAAGGCTATGAGACAATTCCGCCCCTTCAACAACGAAATCTCGAAGAGCCTTCAGTGACGGAAGAGATTGAGATAAAGCCTAGGTATAGATCTCATAAACCAGTTTCTTCTTTCCTCTTTCTTTCTTATGACTGATTGATTCCACTCAGGGGACATGCGGAGGAGATTATCTTCGAGCATCAAGACAAAGCAAGAAGCATGTCTCCTCCACATCGACGGCATTCTCTGCCCGAGGAAGAAGACAAAGAGTTGATCATCAAGCAAAGCATACCCGGTGGTCATGGACGAGAGCGGGAAATCATTATTCGTGAAGAAGAACGCGAAAGAAAAAGAGAGCTTATCCCAAAGGAAGCCCATGTTGGCAGGAGATACACCGGAGTCAGAGACAAGCGCGATAGACGCTGGACGGAAATTGCCAAAGATCTTGTTGTTCGAGAAGCCATTGAGCGAATGGGCTATGAATTTGAAGAATCCGATCATTTCTATTATGTCTTTGAATATCTCCGTTATGTGCGTACACTCCCCCCGCCGGCCGTCCGTCTTGAGCCCCATTGATTAGTTTGGTTAATTGCTTTCATAGGACGACGTTGAAAGGCTCGTGCATCTTAGTGGAGATATACGACGATTTCGTCGTGAACGGATTCGTGACATACGCCGTGAGCGAGAGATGCTTCCACGACCTCCGCCTCCATTGCGTCTTGAAAGGGCACCTCCGCGAGAGCCACGTCTATGGGAACCGCGCGAACGGTTTCGAGAGCGAGATGTGATTATTGAAGAAGGTCAACGTCCACGTCGTCGTTACCGAGAGATATGAAATTTGTTCCCTACTTCTTACGTGATCTACTATTTATTCTCTTTTCCGTGGCATTCGACCAGAATTCGAAATTCAATGGCCATCGGAGGGACGACTATGACGAGTTACGACAGATATTATGCCCCCCCCTTTTTTTTCCCTTTTCTCCTGCAATTTTTGATCGTTGTTCATGTACAGTGTAAGCGAACAAATACGAGGAATTAAGTTTTGATTCAATCATGGAATAAAACATAGCGTACCAGATACCCGTACCGGACCCAAGAAATCATATCCCATGGTACAAGTATCCGTATTGAATGGAACAAGCATAGTCTGTCTTAAAGGCAATTCGTAATTGAACAATCTAGGGTTTAATATTTGTTACCAACGGTTTCAGCAACAAACTTCTGCTCCTAAAAAGCCATGATCCCAGATTCACGTTGCTCTCAAAACCGACAAGCCCTAATGCTTAGTGCCACATCGTCGACACCGGACAAGATATGTCGAATGTTGGCCTGGATGGTGTCTCTCACGGACCACACCACTGAACTTAGCCGAACAGTGGCGACATTTAGCAGTCGCATCGATCTTGAGAACGGCGGACTTCAAACTCTCGTTAATCTCTCTCAGGTCCCGGGCCTTTGCGAAACTACCTCCCGAGGTCAATTGGTACGTCCCATTACATAGATGTGTATTCTCCGTGTTTGAACTTACTGAAAACTATCCTCTGTCTCCCTGAGTCTCTTGCCAGTGCGCCGTATCACGTCAATTGCAAATGCACTCGGAATATCCATATCTGCAAATTCCTTGATCCCGATCAGCTCGTGCAAGTGATCCATCGCCATCGTGGCCATGATATTATGCAAACGCTTGTCAGCGGTGGTCTTGTAAACCTCTCCCACTGCGCCCAAAAACCCCCTTGCAGACCACGATGTGCGCAGAATAAAGAAGATCATGGCTTGTGCTCGGTCTTTTAGCGGTGGTATATCGTAATAATCGGCAATAGCGTTGACGCCAATGTGTGGCTCGAGCATGGCGAGTAGGGCATCGGCTTTGTACTCGGTGTCGACTGTCCATTCGCTGAAATCGGGTTCTGCTTTACTGCTTTTATAATGATGGTCGTTGTTGTGGTTGTGGTTGTGGTTGTGGTTGTGGTTGTTGTCGTCATCGTCATTATCGGAATTGTGTTCGATGTATTCCGGACTCAGAATGTCATTCTGATATTCCACGGCAGTCTTGATGTCGATATGCGCCGTATCTTCGGCTTCGTACTCCCCCAGATACATGAAATCGAGCATGCGATTCAAAGCAGCGGCATCAAACTCCGTCACCTCGATGAGGTTTTCTGATGCTTCCTGCATACTATTAGCGCTCTGGTACGATTATCTTAATCCCCAACGAAATGTTAACTCAAATTACCTTGAAATGACCGTTGCAGGCTGCAGCAAGTACCGAGGATTGTGTGCAGACAATTGCTTTGTGGACCGGAAATTGCTTGTCTTCACATACCAGCGTCAAGTCGCTGTATGCCTTGGTCTCGTGTAATTTCTTAAACACCTCTCGTTGCAGCTTGTTAAATTTCATGTCCTCGCCTTCCCACCACATGCTGTAAGTATAGGTCTCCATATAGGATATTGTCTAGTTTCATGTTAGAAATAGAGGATAGTACCTTTGCTCGATTTGATGAGTGAGCTGACATACATGAATTTATACTGGTATGTCATACCAAGGCAAGAACTGCATTTGTGGAAAAGGGGTAAGAAAGAAAGAATTAACGCTCTTCTTTATATGAGTGGCTCAATCAAAAACTAAAGATGAAAGTGATTGTTGTTCTTTGTTTCTTTTCGTCTCTTTCTCACTTGCAATAGTTGTATGATGACCCTATGAATAATCAACTACTCGAGTATAAGCCCGCATCATAACAAGACAGCAGTATAGGTATCCAGGAGTATGGAGAAACTCATGTCGCAACAGAATTGTACCGTGCTCATCCTGATGTAATTGAATTGCCTAATTTGGTAATAAACCATCAACACGAGGTCCTCGGGGGTGGCTATCGAGGTCTAACCTCGAACCCTACCTTAGAGATGAGCAGTGAGCACAATATTAATCGGTTTGCACAACTAGGCACTATGTTATTCCAAAGTGTCCCAGATACATGACTATGTCATTTCCGCCCCTATTATATTAGTTAGTGGACCGGCGTTTGACAATTGGTCACCTTAAATCCTTTCCAATTTTGCATTGCTTACATCCGGATGAAAAAAGAGCCCTAGATTACTCCATAATTCATTACTTGACAGTTCTATTAATATCTTAGACAATTTCTCAGACAGTTCGCTGTGGAGCGCTGGAGTTGGATGGGAGGTAATATAAAAAAAATGCATTAAAGGGTATTAAGTTCATGTAATAGTGGAATTGAGTGTCCTCCATTCGTCTGGGCTCACAGACACATCGACGATGCTTCGATGTTGTTTGAGACATGCATCTGTGGCGGCGTGATCTGGTTGGCTGAGAGCGCTTGAGCTCAGAGTCACGGTCACGTGGATTCCATGCCTGAGGCCCGCAGATCAAGGCCCTAGCCAAGGTTATTTGGACATACAGAGTAGATTTATTATTGCTTTGGTGCGTACAGATATGAGTCTGGCAACGGGCATCAATAATGTCACCATCTGACGATGCATATATTAGCGTGTAACACTAGTTGATAGTGCCAAGTTCTAACTGAAAGTGATCGTTACGTGCTGGAGTCTGGTAGTAAGAGACTTTGCATGGTAGCATGGCGTTTATTCCCACTATTCAAGCTAGCAGCAGAGTCTAAGCAGAGCGAAAAGTTGGTTCAACTTGGTTGTGATGTGCAGCGCCTGAATCGATTGGCTCGGGAGGCGTGTTATCTGTGTCCCTAAGTGTAAGTGCCGTTACGATCGGCGTCACATGGAGTGCTTGCAGTCTCACTGCATGTTATGCCACCACCCTTTGGGGAATGCTCTGATTACAGAACAGCAATGCTTAAGCCTCTATCAAAGCAATTGGGAGTAAGCAATTTGACGTATTAACACCGAAATATTCTCTGTATGTAACGAAGCATCTAGAAGAAAGGTAAAAATAAACAACATATCGCCGTATTTGAAATACCGATCGCGATGGACCACTCACAGCGCGGGGCAAGGCTCCCCACTAAAATACTGCGTTCTATTGGCCGGCCGATTGGGCCAAAATACCCGCTACCCGCCCTTAATCAGGGAACCACAAAAAGGTAAACATACAACGTCTCTGCACAGACTGCAATAAGATCGGGTCTTGCTGGCTGCCAGCAGTGTAGTGTATAGGATCTAGCATGTACGGTGTATAATATAAATAAAGATATATATATATATACATATATGCCTATACGCCTAGAGAGAGAGAGGGTACATATAGGTGTATGTTAGGCTAAGGGAAGGCAGAATAGGAGATGAAGCATACGTATGCCCCCAAGCCAAATGCATGAGCTAGTCTCAATAGGGTTCCACCCCCTCCAATTCTCCTGCTAGTTTGTCCTGCTGCCCGCAGCCAATCACAGCCGGCTGGTGACGGAGACGGCGCACAGACAGGCACGCACCTGCCTCAGTCCCTTCCTTCCTCTCAGGCTCTCCTTCCCTGTTCCGCCTCTCCCGTCCACCTCGCATCGCCATTGCCCATCACCACGACTATCTATCACCTCCCCCTCCCCATCTATCCTCTATCTCTCGAGCACGTTGTCAGCTGGTTTGACATTCCCGCCTGCCCGCCGGGGCCACGAAGATGCTGCTGGTCTATCATTGTTGCGTGTAACCCATTTGCAATTTCGGCCACCTGGCTACCTTTCTACTGTACGTCTCCGTCTGCGAATTACTTCACTCTACCTTTGAAGAATGGTATCTTGGTCTGCGATGCCTGTCTGCTAATAGAACGGTTCAATGAGAACAGCTCCCCCC